CACACACACACACACACACACACATACAGGTGTACGCAAATATACCCACCAAATTACTCTCTCCACATTTGAATAAATTCAAAGCGTGCTAGTTTTAGTAAGAGTTTTACGGCACTTGCAACACAATAAGGTCATATAAGTGCCGAAGATTAGAGGTGTTAAAAGAGAATAACAAATATAAAAAAAGAAGGAGGGAGATAAAGACGATAGTTGCTTGATAGGAAAGAAGGAGCAAACCATACCAGAGCACCCGCTAACCACCCACATACAACGCTTGCGTACACATGCATGCATTATGAAAACTACAAGATAAGATTGAAACGAGTGTGATTGATGAAGATTTATCCTCTGAGACAATGCTCTAGAACACTGCTTGTCAGCCTTTATACAACTAGCGTCCACTTTTGCCACCTTTAAGAGGCTAAAAAAATGTTCGTATCACCTACAAACAATACTTCCTAGCAAGACAATAAATAACAAATGTCACTTCCCGGGTGATCCCACCGCCCATCTAAATTCATCAAATCGCCCACAAGTAGACGATATCGCCCAGACTGGCAAGCGGTGCTCCGGAGAGAAACAAAAACAAAGACACAACGCACAGATAGGTGTAGGGAGGTGGTTCCTGGGCCATCATAACGACCACATGACGCCCAATACATATGCAGATTGTTTGTAAGTCTGTTTGAGGAAAGAGTAATTATATCACCTCAAAAATTGTCACTTGGTGTAAGGAAAAAAAGTAAGGGGGCTCTCGTGGCCTAGATGTGAAGGTATTCGCCTCTAATTCAAAGATCCTAGGTTCGAATCCAGGTAACGACCGAAAAATGTTCTTCTCTAAAATTGTCTTTCACCTTCTTTCCTGCTCTTTAACAATATTCTGTCGTCTGCTTTCGTCTCCGCTTTCTGCCCCTAACCCCTCACCTCCTTTGCCCCCTCCTCTGGGCTTCTGACTCTTTCTGCGGCCTCTCTACTGCTACTCCTTGGCTCCTTCTTACAGCGGTCTTTCAGCCAAACCCCTGATCTTCTGGTAGGAAAGATCTACACCTAGCCTTCTCGGACAAAGACGAAAAAATCTCGGAGGTCCCGTGCGCAACCGTGTGGAAGTTGCGCACGTTAAAGATCCCTTGGTGGTCTAAAATCGATAAGAGTAGGCTTCGGCCGCCACCCGGGCAAAATTCTAAATTTCCTACCAACTGAAAATGTTTGGCGTGTCCCGCGCGCTCATATGACCTTATGCAGTCGCAAGCGCCGTAAAACACTTACCCCTCCAAAAAAAGGAAAACGTAGGCAGGCAGGCAGACAGGCAGACAGGCAGACAGACAGATAGACAGTGGGAATGAAATGTAGAGGGCAGTGGCGCCCTTCAACCACTCGCACATGTTGAGATATCAGTATGACATAAAGGAAGCAACTTAACCTAAGCAGGCCACACCTTAACGCTCACCGACCACCCAACTCACACAGACATAAGTATGTTGTGAAAAGACGTGCAACGTGCTCGGTAAATGTCGTCCCAAGTTCGGGACACTTAGATAGAGCTAGAACAAGAGTAACATAATTAGAGAACTTGAACAGATGGGTGACCCAGGATAAAACAGCTTTTTTTTTTTTTTTTGGGGGGGGGGTGTTCTCATAAAGTATCCGAGGGGGAAAGTGTGTCGAATCGTGACTGCAGATGTCTGTTTCAGATCAGGCACTTGAAGAAGAACTATAGATCGGCCCGCCCATGCGTGAACTCAACCCCTTAACTCCATTAGCTCAGTTGATATCATGCTGGAGTAAGAAGCGGACGGTAGTCAAAATTGAATCCCCAACTGGGCGTTCTTGAACTCAAGTCGTTTTGTGGAGATTTCAAGGCCCTCGCTCAACCCATCTGGCTCGGTCCTATCGGAGATAGACCGTCGCCTCAGAACTAGTTTGTCCAAAGTGTACAAAAGTAACGAGGCGCTTTGAACAAAATAGTTCTGAGACGACGAGACGTTAAATTCTGATGCCCGGTCTCATAAATATTTCTAACTGTTGAAACGGACGCTAAACCCATACACTTACAGTTTCTTAAACCAGACTCAGAGCTGGTGCGAACAAATAACGACTGCGTGAGGTAGATCTACTCACCTTGAGGTCTAAATGTACAATGTTGTTGTCATGGAGATATGCAAGGCCTTCCAAAATCTGGACTAACAGTTTCCGGACGTCATCTTCCTTGAAGGACTCTTTGATAACACACTCGTGGAACAATTCTCCTCCAGAGCAACTGCACGGGGAAAAGAAAGAAAATACAGAAAACATAAATGAAATGTCAAGAAGAATGTTCCCGCCTTCTTAAAAATAATTGTCTCTACAAGCATTACTTTTTTTTTTG